GCTGCTTGCATGATCTTTTGCAAAGTGGACATGCCTCACCCACCTTCGATATTGAAGAATTTTGGATTTCTCTTACATGATAAAGGCAATATACAAATTACCACGTATATCATCAGCAATTGTTTCGAACCTCATAAACCTATTTTTTTTTAAGGAAAAGAAACTCTCATGTAAACTCAAGGGGCTTTACTGCGATCCCCAGCCCTTATCACCATGTTAGATATGGCTAGGGTAGCCTGCAACCTATATCCCCAAAACAGCACAGTCAAATTGGGCTACTGCTGAGCCCAGACTAATTAACCCTCTGCCTCAGCAGGTAGACACGCACACTAAGTCCTTGTCTGTGGTAATATAAAGTGGTTTTAAAGTCAGTCTATATGCAATTCATACTCTAAGTCCACCTTATCACTTGCAAAGGGGATTTAGTGTAAACACGAATTAAGCTCAAATGGAGTTTCACTGAAAGAGATCCTGTTCTGATTTTGAGGGACAGTTTTGACTGCACAGAGGGAAGCATACACAGTTTTATCTGGCATAGTACAAAGAAAAATGTTACTCTACTGACAATCAATTTTCTGGGCCCTAACAAAGTCATTGCAGAAGACCTAGCTCAACTGATTTAATCCTTTGCTGCCTCATTTTATTCATCTGTAAAAAGGAGATAAAACTTCTGCTTATTAAGAATAATCTTTTTTTAATACACTTTATTATTGCCCTCAATTCCACAAGTGAATGTATATTATCAATATCAGTTAATTTCATATCTGAGCTAAATGAAGCAATGGACACAGAAGGAGACAGTGTGTGAGATCTGGAGCTCCAGGTAAAGCCAAGACAGCCTGAGTAGTGTTTCTGTCTTTTAACAAAGTCATCTGAACAAAATTTTCACAGACGCTACAAGATATAAACCTGTTTGTAAAGAAGAATGGAGGCTCTTCTCTTGAAAGGTTTTGTAAAAATGCGAAGTGTTAGTATAGTTAATTGTTGTTATTGAGCAAACTGATATTCAAAATTATGCTGTCAGATAGAGTTGTGTAATTTGGTTTCTGGTCATTACAGCATTTCATTACCTCTCTCCTATGGAGCAACTGTTCCTTTGCCAAACGTGTGTTTACACAAGCTTTTTGGAGATTGATTTGTTGCTTTTAAACCTCTAAGTTTTTGCTTGCCTAGTGCCTTGTAGAATTGACTTCAGTTCTGTAAAATAACTGGAAACGTGTTCATTCATGGCAATTTGCATAATCTGGGAGCAATGGAAGAAGAAATTGCATTAGGCTCAAGTGTGTGAGGTTACAAGGATTCAAGGCAGCCTGGGAGCAGGATGACATTGGGAAGGGAATGCAGATTTCACTTCTATCTAAATAATGATAGTATGTTACAAGTAGGGAGAAAAGAAGAAAACAGAAGTAATGAATAGAAGTTAGAAGTTAGGAAGTATACAAAACTGATAAGGAACGCAAAATGGCAGAAGTATAAATCCATGGCCACAAGTTTAGCCAGTAAAAAAGAGTATACACAGCTATCTTAAAAGTAAAGGAATTTAAGAGTAACACTAGGCTATCACCTGATTCCTAAGGTGGAATTGCAAATACTAATGCCCAACATACTAAATTCTGTGCAAAATGCCAAGTAGTTCAATCACGTTCACATGTAGTATTCTGAAGGGAAAAAACACTAGGTGGTATGGTTACATCAAGGGATGATGAATGTACCAGCTACTAGGGTTTGCCATTTCAAAATCACCTGCTCTGTAAAATGTGCTCCTCAACAGTTTAGAAGAGCTAAGCAAAAGGGTGTTCAGGCAGCAAATACTGAATTGCCATATGTTTTAGAAAACTGGGGAAATTCCAGAGGAGAAAATACGCTTTGGGGACCAGGTTTTTTTAAAAGCAGCCAAGATGAGCATATAGTGGCTGGTTTATCAGTCTGCATCCAGGACAAAGTGGTGGAAACACTGATACAAAATTTTGCTAAAGAAAAAAATTAATGATATTGTAATTAATCTGAATTGACACATCAAACTACAGAAACCTGATACTTTAAAATAGATTACAATCTCATAGAGGCAATAATGCCCAAACAGTAGATGTTTGGACATCAAACCAACAACACCTGAGTTGATTCTGCAAAATGTTTCCACTAGTTAGTTGAACTGATTCATAATCGTTACAGCAAACACTCTGTAAATGAACAATGGTCTTCACTGGTCTTAGAGAATAATGATGAAGGAGGAATCATTAACACATGGGAATACTTTAAGGGTTCGGCCATTTCTGTTTTTAATAATGTGTGAAAAAAAAAAGCAGTAAAATCACTGAATTTGCACATGAAATCAGTTCAGGTAAAGGTAACCAAACTGCGTAATCTAATAAACTACATATAAATGTAAGTATTTCAAAATGTCTAACAATAAAGGGTTATGCTTCCAGTTTTGTGATGTAGAAAAGAAGGATGAAAACCAAAACCCAGGAAAACTCTCTGGATAAGATCAATGAGTAAAGAGCTCAACAACGTCAAAAGAATCAGTGAAGTCTTTGGAGAGATAAACTGAGAAGCACTTTCCAGGCTTAAAGAACTTATGGGACATTTTTACATGACTTTGGTGTGACTGTGCATAGACTACAGCGACTGTGTCATTCATCAATCAAAAGGGTGTTCGTTTGTAACTGGAGGACAGTCAAAGGATTGGAGAAAATGCCTGAAAGAACTGAGCAGCTCCAATTGCCTAGACTATGAGAAAGACATTTGAAAGACGCATTTGTCACAGTTGATAAGTAACAGCCCTAGGAAAAGGCATGTGATAACACAGGGGTTCTACTTAGCAAACAAGAGATCACAGTATCCAACTGCTGGAAATAGAAGCTAGAGACAGCCAGGTACTAATGTACCAGTTTTCATCAGTAAGAACAATCATCGAAACAACCTGCCAAGAGCGGTGATGGATACTCTGCCATTGTAACTTTTCCTCCCTGTACATGCACTTGTACTTTAACACAAGAAGCAATACATGCATCAGAACAGGTTATCCCAGCCTTATGCATCAGAGCTTGGGAGCCTCTTCTTACCTGAAAGCTGACACTGCCCACTGGCAGATAGTTTCGATCTTCAAGCATGCTGAGGTACTCTGCCACCAGCGCTGCAGCATGGACCAGACACATGGCTGCTTCTGTGTAGCACTTCCTCTTGGTGTGTTTCTCTGCCATGTTCTGCAGCCAAGTCAGCCTCAAGTCGGGTGATGTCTGGTATCCTTTGGCAATTCTAACAACACAAGGCAGAAAGCAGCTGAGAAAGATCACTGCTTCTCAAATAACAGAAAGAACCTTAATAATTCTCCACTTGGGTTGAATGGAAGGAGATATCTCTGTCTTTATTCTGTATGATTCACTAAGCACGGGGCAAAAGAAATGGTTATGCAGGGGTAAGCAGGAGACACAGGGACTATGAGAAGAGTAAACCTGCGGAACCCAAGACTCCTCAGTGTTCATCAGTCCCTGATTGCCATCCTTGCCCAAGTCTATGTCCACCTCCAAGAGGCTCCACTGCAATATGCTCACTCCCGCAGCCTGCCCCCTCTGTGACATATCAGCTGTGCTAAAGCAGAAATGTACACCAGCAGAACAGCTAGAAGCTTTGTCCACAGCTTGTCTCTAAAATACACAGTTCTTGTGCTCACCTCACTGCAGAATTTCCTCAGTAGCAATTCTAAATTAATTCACCTGTACATGAGATCCATGAGCATCTCTGGATCTTCTTGAAATTCCCTCATTTTCACTGTATCTGACAGGATGCTGTTCAGATTACACAGCAGCTCCTCTACCTGCAGTAATACAAAGATCAACATGCATTTCTCAAGTGTTTATTTTTCCCTTCTAGAAAACTAAGTGTCTGCACCAGATATGTTACTCTCTTTTAGTCCCTCTTACCCAAGGAAATGTCAGGATGCTGAATCACCACAAGATATGTTTTTCCAACTCTATTCAACGCAGTGAAGACTGCTAACATAGCAAATCTTATATACACATTTTAATTAACCAAAATGAGCTGGAATTCTTTGATCTGTTTATTTCTGAATTAAAAAAAAAAATCAAACCTATGCCTTAGCTGGTCTGTGATCTGATAAAAAAGCAGATGTTTTTGTAAGTCTTCAGCACAAGCTGAGTTACTGTAAGAATTTTAGCAAAGCAGCTGACAGTTGTTGGAAATGTTTTTCATTATTGCTACTGCTGCCTTATGAATTGACAAAGGGAGAGAAGTTTCCATGATGCAACTTGTGTGAAAACATAATGAATCAAATTCCATCTTGGGAAACTCTTACAGGGTACAGTTCCTGCTGGGGTCTAAAGAAAGTTGTAACACAAAGCTAAGAGATGATTCTCCTGTAATGTGATTTCAGTGGAACTTCACAAGAGTTTATTCTATGGAATTATGTCCTTCACTTCTTCTCCACTTATTGTTGTGTTAGAAATAAACTCATGCAATAACCCCTGGATCCTTATTTCCATTGCTTTGGAAGACCAAGATGTAGGACTTGATCCAAACACACTCCTATGTGAAAGCTCCCGATTAAAGCCACAGATGTCATAAAAGATTTGACCTGAATGGGAAATGGAGTTGCCTGCATATCCACATCTTCCTCTGCGTAGGCTAGGATGGTTCGTAAGGACCGTCGAAGGAATTCCTCATTAAACTCAGGTGATTTTCCAACCAGAGAAGCTAGTGACATGGTCACCTGCATCTTCACTCTTGCAAAATTCTTTCAGAAGTAAAAGCAGAAACATGAAAGAATGACAGCTGCACTGCATCATGCATATCAGTTCACATATTTCTGTCGACTATATAAGCCAAACCCACTTTCTCCTGTCCACTCAGAGTGGCATTAAACTCACTGCTTATACAAGTGGCTTCTGGTGCATCAAAACCAGTCCTGTTTTACTTGGTTAAGCCAAAGTTCCCTAATTCTGACATGTCTGTACTTCAGGGCAAGAATGTTCCTTGGAATACATACGATTGCTTGAGACAAGGGGAAGTCAGAAGCACCTCTTCCTCCTCTGCACAGGCCAGTGTGCGTATAGATCAGGCCACCCACAGGGGAGAAGAGGAAGCAGGACTGGGAAAACATTGTGGAAAAAAGTCTGGGAAGCAAAAGACCTCTGAGGGCTTCATCTGGTGAGGCACTACGCCTTGCTGATTGTGGTGTCTCAGAGGCATGTTTTTCTCCTGCAAAGCCAACACTTTTTACATATTCAAGGTCTTTAAAGCAACAACTAGGGAAGAAAATGCTGTGCAAGATCACATGCTATCCAAAACACTAATGCATGTCCTTTCGTGCTAGGATATTGTGAATCTACATGCATAACATACGTATTTTGCTCCATATGTGTGGTAAGAATCAGAGCCTAGTCCTGAGATCAAGGGGCCAGCAAAGAACTCTACTGAGGTTGTAATTGCATTAGAATAGAACTAGTCTAAGTTGAAGTAGTTCTGACACAGGAGTGAAAAAAACCCCAACAAATGACAAAGTGACAAAATGAAGTGTCTTGCTATCAAAGGCCCAGTGCTGTTCCATTTGAAGATGCATTTACAGATGTTGCAGAAGTCACATTTTCCTAAGCAAAATAATGAATAATTAAAACTACTTTCCCCCTACGCTTCTAGCACTTCTTCTGACTCAAATGTGCAAAATAGCATAACATATAGCTATTTAGCTGCAGATGCGTTCCATTTGCTATCACAACTTTAGTTTCAGTTTCAACTTATCACAAAAAGAGGTAGCACAAAACATACTGCTGCTCTCAAAATCTTACACTGGTAGAGCTGAAGCTGTATCTCATGAGGAGGTAAAGAGTGGCACAGGCTTGAGTCCGTGTAATATCTATGCTGCTGCTGCAGTGATGGAGAACTCTTTGACACAGGTCAGCACATTGTTCGACCTCCTCTTCAAACAGGAAATCTCCAAACTAAGGGACATAGAGAAGAAAACATCCATTACTCTCTTTTCTGGCCATTAAAACATCATTAGCTTAGTGCACAAAAATCACAGGATACAGACAAAGAATAAAGTTTGCAGAAACTACATTTTATACTCTTTTTTATTTGGACTTCTGATTCCTGTGATGCTGTAGGTTCCATTTTCAAGCTTTTCTACAGAGAAGAAAGGTTTGAAAACAGTCTTAGTGTTTTGAAAAAGAGCAGCAGAAAGAGAGAGAATAAAAAAATTTCTGAGAGTCCCATGGCTCCAGCAGTTTTTGAAAACATCAAATATTGCAAAATTAGAAGCTTGGAGAGGTGCTATTTTCAAAATATATAATGGCTGATGAAAAGTGCAAATAACTTCCTTAAGCTTAGGACCAATTACTAGCTTTTTGCATCAACGCCCAGCCCTCCAGTGGTGTGCCACAAAGCTTCCATTGTCCAGTTTTCATGCCAGATCCTCCTTTATAGTGTCTCCACAATGCACCTAGCAGACAATAAACCCACGGGGCAGGACATCTGTCCTAAGAAAGTCTCACCATAGACAGCACAGATGTACCTGTAATGTATGTACATACACAGGACTGATAAAGGTGTGTGCGCAGAACACAGGATATTATTTTTCATTTGCAGGTCCATTTCCCAGTTCTCAACCTTTCTTCACTCCATTATCCCATTCTTTTATCTCTAATTTATATTACAAGCCTGCTGGCACAAGGTTCTTTCATTTTTATTTGTAAAATAACATCTATATACCTACAGTGTAATAGAAATAATGGGAATGATTGCTTCATAAAATACAGAACTGAGTCAACTTAACCAGAAGATCTATTTCACTAAGAATAATGATTGCTTAACAAAATTCATTATTATAATTTGAAGTTAGCTTTCAAAGATAAAGTGCAATGAAAACATAATTATGAGTTTCATAACTACTCAGATACCTACCCTGTAATTAGGCTTTGTCAGCCAATCTGCATTTAACAGCAGACCGGCATTAACTGGACAGGAGTATTCTGTTTGCTATTTGTATTTTAGAATAGTTCAGGGGAAAAAAAAGATTTAATGGGTTTTTCCTTTGTGGAACTGCTTTCCTTTGTAGGAGGATGAATCTTAAACCAATTTTAGAGAGTCTTCATGAAGCATCCAACTCATTATGGCTCATATTATAAAAATATTGGGTGAAATTCTGTCCTCATACACATTAGGATTAGGATTTGGCTTAGTTTTCAGGCAGAACGAAGATGAAATCTGTCAACATCTTAAAGTCCACTTAGAATTTTGGAACCTATCTTAGAAGTAGAAAGCTAGAATAATACCCCTGATCTCTGATGAGTTAGCTTTGATTTCTCTGCTGCCCGACTGGTTGGAAACTATCCTGATGATATAACAATTTAAAATCGATCTTATGGAACCCGTGCAATCCCTGGCATTAAGATTCCTAATTAAAATCAGAATGTCCCTGCCCATGGCAGGGAGGTTGGAACTAGATGATTTTTAAGGTCCCCTCCAACCCAAACCATTCTATGATAATGGTGGAATTTTTTACCTTTTCATTAGTAAATCTTCTCTATTTAAGAGTAGACTGCTAAAACCACAAGATTATTCAGACTCAGTTATTTTACCTTGTGTGGTCAACGGAATAACCTTACAACAGCTGTAGAAGTCCCTTAATATCCTCATGGATAGGCATTAACATTTACATATGCAAAATATATTTATTGAATGCCAAAGGAAAAGTGGTAAGTGAATGCATACAGCTCTGCTCTAGAAACGCTGCTCTAATAACTTGTTTGGAAGCACAAAACCAGAAGCATGTCAAGATCATACCTTAGCAATCAGAGCTCTGAGTGTAGCAAAGCAATGAGTCAGGTAAGTTGTGCTCTGATCACAGCCGAGAGAATTTACCAGGACCTTCAGAACTCCTCCCAGGAGATTGTCTCTGCACTCTGCTGCAAAGCTTGCCTACACATGGAGGAAAAAAAAAAACAATAACTGCATGAAGTAATTCATCAATGAACTGGCACACAGGAATTAAAGTCCTGCTCTCCTGTCCATGAGACACATCAAGGAGTTTAGAGATTGCAGTTTTTTTATTAGTTAACATCTGCTTCAGAGAAATTTAAAAACCCTTTTGTAGCGATCAGGAAGACAGAGGGGAAAATATGCCAAACATTTCTCAACATCTGCAGACCCTCGAATGCATTTTTAAGCCTAGCCAGCTTCTGCAGTGACTCTTGAAGCTCTGTCCACCTTCTATTCCATCTTTCCTGTACCTTGGATGAGGACTGGATCCTGTGGTGGGCAAGCATCATTCTTCCCCTTGCCTCCTCACATAGCAGCATATAGACTAAACAGGCATACTGCTATGCTCTGATCAAATCCACAACCCAAATAGTGGGGAGATTAGGTGCTATGAGTGGTGTCATGCAAAAATCTTATCCAGTACTACAAGAGTCTAGTAGCTAAATGCTTTTCTTCTAACAGGTTTTCAAGAGTGAAGTTTTCTCCTCGCTATGTATGAATATGAATGTTGCTCCAATAGTAGTATTCCCATACCCATGAATTTGGAGTGTGTCTCCTAAACAAGGAGACCATGTCCAAGCAGAGTCAACTATCATGGTTCCACTGCTGTCAAAGGACCTGCGAAATTTTACTGCATCTGACTCCTAGAGCTCTGCACATTACACTGCTGTAGAAGGGCGTATTTTTTTTTCAGAAAGACTCCATGCAGGTGGAAGACACTTTTCTGCACCAAGCACTCTGTGGGAGTCAAGGTTAAATGCTCTTATCTCATAGGATCATACATTCAAGTATGATCAAAGTCCACCTAGCAGTGCAGCTCCAAATTACTAATATCTTCAGATTCGTTCCTAGCATATGAAGGTTTTTCTTCCTTCATCCTCTCCAAGCTCCGGGATCATAGTCAGACTGTGAAAACGGCTTTCAACAACATCTACTGAAGACAAGGTGGTAGATTTCCCTTTCATTCACAGTAATGCAATGCCCTAAAATAGAAGGGGCTTGCTGCAACACTGTAAGGCAGGCAGCAATTTCACCTTTGTATTTGTTCTTCTTCGTAATTATTTTTTTCCTTCAAGATTATACAAGTTTACAGAAGATCTTTAATTAAAATATTTTGCACTGCCTAAGAAACAAAAGGAGAAATTAATCTTGCTTCCACTGGCTTCTGAAGGAGCAGGAATTGGTGCTAAGCCAGCTCTGCCATTTCCCACCTGGATGATGTTCTCTTGCATATCGAGAATGATCAGGTTAGCTTCAGTTGCCAGGTTTCCACTGATGAGAGCTTCTTGATCTAGCTCAGCTTTTGTCCTGCAAGAAGGAGTTCTAATTAAAGCATGCAGAGAGTACCCCAAGACTCAGATGGCCTGCTGTTCAAACAAAGCCAAAATACCAACAATAGCATTCTGAACTGTCCTACAATAGCAAACAATGAAAGTAGTGTTCAGAGGTGTTTCTTAAGAACTATGGAGTGAAATTAGAAGAGCTGTGTCATAGAACAGAAGTCCCAAAGGGAACACCTGAAAATTAAGCCTCTGAATAGTTTGAATAGATGCTTCTGCTTCCTTAGTAGCAATCTGTGTAATGGCTACTCTGCCCTCAATATCACGTTCAACTGTTCAATAAGCTATGCAGTAATTTCTGAGTGCATTGCCTGTGGCAGGACACCAAAACTCAAAATGGAATAAAAGGCAACTGATCTAACACTTCTGGAAAAAAAGTAAAAATGGCAGGCTTGGGCAAAGGGGAAATTGCTTTAATGCCATAGCAGCAGTGTTTAATGTAGGCAACTTAAAACATTGACTCTTGAGACTATTGACAACATAAGACAGCAGGCACAACAGCTGTGGGGTCAATACAGCAGTGCCCCAGGTCATTCAAGGGAGGACTGAAACATTTATAAAAGACAGAAAGTGGTGGTAAGGCAATGCACGGTACCCTCTTAGCTGAGACTTAAGGGTGAGGTTTGGAACACAGCTCCTCTGCAGCTGAATGCTCTAAGCATAGGTGTAGCTCCTAAAAAACCTGTCTTTTCAGAGACCCCTTCTATGTCGGAAACACAAAGAGGAGATTTTGTTTTTTTCCTAAATGGCTCAGAAAAGAGCTGTTGCATGGACAGAAGCTGCTCTCTAGAGCTTGAGATTAGAGTTGCTCTGACTTGGGCTAAAGTTCCTAAGGTGCATTTCTGTGGCTGGAGCAACTCTTAAAATCACACTTCTGAGTGACTTCAAAATCTGTGGCTTTCCTGCTACATTCACTTGCTTTTTCTACCCAGTGGAGTCTTACCAATAAAGAAAACCAGCAAAGAAAAAGAGCCATCCTTTTGGGCACAACCGGATAGTTCTGGTGAGGGTTAGGAAAGGAAGTCACGGCAGTAGCATGGTTATTAATTACAATGACTCAATGTAACGAAGAACAGAAGGTCCTGCCAAAAGGCTGGTACTATAATCAAGCCAGGGATCGCTAAATATGAGTAAGAACTGCAAAAATTAAGCAAACAGCATAGCCGTTTGAACCGTTTCCAGCAACCACTCAGCCTTGCCCATTAACCTGCTGACTGGATCCTCTGTGACACCACATGTAACATGTATTGCAACTAAAATCCCAAAGCATGCTGGACTCAAGGAGAAGCAGGCTGAGTGAGGCTGAGTGGTGGCCTATGCAAACCTGCTGTGCTACGTACTTCATCTTACTTATGGAACATATACACTATAGGGATCCAAAAAGGATGGGAGTAAAGAACTTGCATACCACAGTGATGAACACTGGGTAAAACAGAAAGGCCTGGACAGCATGCAGAGTTTCACTAATGTAACCAGAAGTGTTATTTTAAGTGGTTTAACTGAACTATTGTAAAGAATGTTGTAGAGCTGTGGCTTGAGGACTGTTTTATCCTGATTTCAGTGAAACTGGCTGGGACAAAGTAAGCTACTTTCAGGGCAAAATAAGAATATCCATACAGGATCTGCACCTCTTTCAATCCACCACAGAAGGTGGAAGGAATCTTCTTTTTAAAGCTTGAATAAATTTCGAATTAGTCATCTTGAGTTCAAAAATGCAAGCAATAGTCATGGATGAGTGCTAGGCTACAACAACGTAGCTGCTGCATAGCACAAGCCAGTGTTCTCTGTTCAAATTCACACACGTTAAAGGGTATCATAGGAGCTCACAGTACCTGGAATGATGAGAGGCCACTGTATCTATCTGACACACAGTGGCTGGGTTAGATAGTCAAAACTCAAGCAAATATCTATGGGCAAAGGACATATGTCCTTTAAGGAAAAGCAGCAAGTTCCATGCTTACAAAAACTTCGCACATAGTGTATGGAAATGCTGTTAGTAACACAAATCATTCCCGAAAACACAGTTTTCCATAGACCTAGACACTGACTTGTCTACTACCACATAGAGCTGATAAGTGGAAATATACTGAGACACCATAACTTAAAACCTGCAACAAGAAAAATATTTACTACAGAATCATCTTCCTCTACTGCTAATAACTCTTATTGATTTTAACATAGCACGACAAACCTAGCTCAACTGATCTAATGTGGCAAAACTTGTACCATAGTACTGTATACAGTGAGGAGCCACAGCAACTCCAAAATAAATGTCGTAGCAAACCTCTGTGGTGTATTTGATATCACCTGTATCAATAGCTAGTGATTACCACACTGTTAATAAGAAGGAAAAAAATGTGTAGGTGACTATTTAAACTTCTCATTTAAGGATTTGTCATCTCTTTGTGGTGTCATAGCAACAGCTGGACACTTTTGCCACATGAATATTTTCTATTTCTTTCTCTTTGACACAGGAGGGAAAGGATTGAAACTGCTGATTTTGTAATAAAGTATCCTAGGAGAAAGAACAAACATAAAAAACCCAAACAGCTTGGTTCTAATAAAGGCAATATATATTTATTAAATGACTTACTTATCTTGTCTCTCATTTGCCTGCCGCCAGTGAGTCTGCTCCTTTCTCCAGCGCAGGTTTTCATTTAGCCCTGCTGATCTGTCATTCCCTAAAAGTGCAACATATATCAGTGAGATTAAAGTAAAAGGGAACATTGAGAGTCTGATAGCTCACCAAAAGAAGGAGATACATAGCAGTCTGTCAGAACTAAAATAATTCAACTTTACAGCCTCAGGGCTCTAGTAAAAGGACAAGACCCCATAATATTTTTCATCTAGGATTTTTAGAATATTAGCTTGCTTAATGTCTTCAAAGACCAAAAGACAAATTATTCCACTTATTAAATAAAACAATCTTTTTTGCTATGAACAATTTGTTCTTACTGATAGTTTCTACACTGTTTCTTGGCTCTCGACTAGACACTAACACGATTTCTCAGAATGTCTTAAAACTTCTTAGTTGGGCTCCTATTCTTCACCCGAGAAGAGCTCAGTCCTAGCTATACCTTGGACAGTTGAAAACTAATGAAATTTTATCCACAGCAAAACCAAGAAAGGTCTGCAAGGGGAAGGACTGTGGGTGAAAAATATAAGGATGAAAATGGGGACTGTGCATAAACCCCAACAATCTCTTTCATGTCTACAACTTCTTGATCCTCTCAAAAGACATGCAGGGAGAGGGGTATGAAGTACCAGCTGGCGTTCTGCAGCGCTTCATCATTTCTCCTCTGGCTCCTTCACCTCTCAGTAAAGCCTCTTCTAATCGGGCCTTAACATCTCGTGACTTCTGGAGAGCTTGGGTGCTAACTTTATCTGAGCTTTGCTTGCCCTGAAAGTAAAGTCAAAGCAGTCAACACCAATGTCTCCATCTTTGGACATGAGTCCAAATAACATGTCCAGAAGGAGACACAACAGGAGAGACCTGTAGAGGAGGCAGAAAGCAATGAATATTATTGGCTAAATATAAAGACTAATTTAATGTTGCAGATGAGGAAAGAGGTAGTATATGTATTGCTAATAAACACAAATATGTAGCTTAGTGCTGCAGAGAGAGCAATTAAAGTTCAGAGAGAAGGTTATTTGATACATTTCAGACAGACTCTGTCAGAGACAGCAGTCCTGATGTCCAGTCCCAGCTCTTAACTCAAGGGTCATCCTTAGTGTCCTGTCCACTACTTGCAGCAACTGTCAGTATATCGCTCACCAAAAATACGCCTCGAATCCTCAGTAAAAGGAAAATACTAAAATAATTTCAGCCAACTTCATAGGACTTCTTCAAAGGTTTTGGCTGCCTTTTGCTTGAAGGGTAGTGTCAGTTATTTTATCTAAATTAATTTGTCCATTTATAGCATAGATTAGACAAGAACTAATGTAACAATTGTGAATAACAAATTTCTCCTGGACAGCTGGAAGGTAAGGAAAAAAAAATTAAACCAAACCAGCACAACACAATCGGACCATGATTCACTTACCTTGTACTCAAAGCATGAGACACAAATGAAGAGGAGGTCTAAAATCCTGTTCAACTGCACGGAAGGAAGGTCTGCAATCCATTTCTGAATTAGATTCTGATCAGCATTCTTCATGATCCAGAGGAAACAGATCAAAAGGTTGCGAGTAGTATCAGGACCTAATGTGGCAGCTTGTCTGTAAGGCTAGGAGCAGATAAGGTAAATGTCAGTTGAAAGAAGAAAGTTTATCCTCTCCCAGGTTCTACTGACTGTATTTTTTGAATGTAGAATGTATGTGTGTGTAATTATGACAGGACCAGTAACACACATGTGAAAGAGAGAAAAAAGCATTTTAATTTCCTTAGAATAATGTAGAAAAAGATTCTATAACTTTTTGGTCCCCTCTTGCCATGCAATTGTGTTAGCCAAATTGCATAGAAGATAAAAACAACCATGAAGAAAAACATAGAGAGAGAAAAAGAACGATCTTGAGTCCTAGATCCATAGATTCAGGTGAAACTGGACCTGGGAGGCAGTGAGGGAGTCACAGTGGCATTTGCTGATCTGGAAATGAGACTAGGTTCAGTGTGGAAACAGAAACAGGCATGTGGGAGAAAAAGTGGAATTACTTAAGGTAAAGGAGTACATAAATGACAGGAGGAATATGACGCGTTCTTTGGAGCTGGAGGAGACAAGAACACAGTTTCTCACAACTGTAGTTATTACTGGCAAGAAAGGATAAAAAGAGAAAACAAAGAAAGAGAAAAACAGGAACAAGAAAGGAAATTCGCAGAGCGTTGAACATACCAGGGATACCAGAGACATTCCAGAGCTCCTGAGGTTGAACTGATTCCCTGCAATGGCAAGGGCCACGTTTTGATTGATTGCACCTGCAGACTCTTGTTCTTCTTCTGGGTTTCCTGAGCGCCCCTTTCCACTGCGGGCATCTGAAACTAGATTTGAAATGTCCCACTGGAACTTCAAGACCAATCCAGCTGTTACCACTTACAAGCCACAGTCTTCCATCAGGCTGTAACCTAACAAAACCATTGGCACCTCCATCCCTGAGACTGTTGGTCTGGCTGAGGTACCAAGCAGTGAAAGAGGCACAGCATTAGAAAGACAGATTGCAACCATCTGCAAAGGCTGCTAAATTGTTGAAATAAACACAGGGAAGAAATGTCCAATAAGCAGGCTCCAGATGTTCAGAGAAACTAAATTGAAAGCAAAGGCAGCAGCAAACATGAGGTTATCTCTGAAGGTCAAAGCTAAGCCAGTGCTTCATAAGACTTCAAACCATCCAGTTCCAGTTAATTTCAGGCAAGAGGATCAATGCAAAAGCCATACATGGGTTTGGTGATATTCAACAAAGTCTGTAAGTCTGCTAACAGGTGACAAAGCCATTATTGTCTGCTGGCTAAAGAACAAGTTTAATTTCAGGCATCTATCTGCTTCTATACCCTGCTAGTTCCTATTGTAGCTTTCAGCAAATAAGGTTATTTATACCTAAGTTTTGTTAAAATCTCCTCTGATTCTGAGTGTCCATTTCGTGTTTTGCAAGTCCTGTTTTTCAGAGAAGCTGAGTGACCAGACGGTCCTAGTGTGTTCATAATGAGGTCAACAGCCTCTTGTGACATTCTCAAAGACGCTCTAAAACCTAGCCATACTGGTACACCTGCACTTCCTCAAAATGTCTCCTTTTAATCTATGGTATAAAGATAATAGGTTAGAAGAATGAGATGAGATCTGATTACACACTGATTAGCCAGTGTATAATAAATGCTTTCATCCTATTAGTCTGAAAGTGCTAAATACTACTTTCATAGCATTAAGTTTTTTGTCCAGATATCTAAATACAAAATATTTTCAGAACCAGTATGTTCTTCAAAGATTTAATCTTTTTTTCTTTATATCCTTTATTTTGTTTATGGAAGTGAAATGTAGTTTTCCAAGTAGCAGAGATCTTACAAAAAATGTGAAATAAATAGCTACTTTCAGCAGTATCACACAAACACACATGTAGGAAAATGCAAGGAAACGGCTTAGATAATGTTGTTTTAAAAGGCTTGATAATGCAGAGCAAAGTTTGTAGTTACATGATAAAAATGTATTTCCTGATTACGTTTGCCTGGGATTAATTTTGGTATCATATTAATGGCACTAAAGAGCAATACAAAAGGACAGAAAGAACACAATCTAATTTATTTAACTGCTATGTAACATGATGTTAGTATCACTCTTGTTTTCTTCCCTACTATCTGTTAGACCTATCTATATATCAATATTTCTCACAGTTCTTGCAGGCTTTATTTGCAGGATCATAATATTTACACTAAGAGATAGGCAGGAGTACTTACAGACAAATCCCTGGCCTATCATTTGCTCATGAAGTGAGGACACTGAAGTTTTTCCTGTCTTTAAAAATCAAGTTTACTTCTAAGTAAAGAAACATTCAACCTTACTAGACTGTGGGGAATTTCTGCCCTTAGCACAGTCTCTTTTATGGTTGATAGATTGTTTAGACAAGTAACCGTAAGAAGTTGAAAAATACAAAGGGAAAAAGGTCTTACTTGTAAAATCATGGAGTTGCGGCAGTGAATCCAAAATGATACCAACCAAAGGGAGATAGAGAGCTGCAATTTTAATCTTCACCTCTTTTTTGGAGCAACGTGGGTCTAGGTCATGGGAACTCAGCAGACTAAGGATAGCACTGACCGCTTTTCTCTGCACCTTGCTAATCCTGTTAACACAAAAACCATCCATGAGCTTCATTAATGGGTCATGCACAAATTATTTATAAATCAAAGATTTAAGAAACAAACTAATACATCAATATTCATTCAATTTTCCATTCTGAGCAGAGACTCATCTTCCCTGCAAACGATAGCTATTTTACATCTTCAAGCCACTTCACCACAATCAAAGAGCACCCAAGTCTCTTTCAAACTTCCTATAAAAATTCAAGATGGTGAAGAGAGGTGCTTAAAGAAAAGCATCAGACTCTCGCCAAAGTTTAGCTGAAGTCTTAAAGTCAAACAAGGCAGGGATGTTTTACAGAGAAGAGCAACTGAAATTTTAAGTTGTGCTCTCAATTCCTCTATTTAGCCAGCACTACCGCAACAAGCAGTATATTTTTATTCACTGGGACCAACATACTGCAGATGAAACAATGACTGTGTTATTGCTCTGTTACAGTGACCCACTGAAAAGAGTAAGGGAAGCAGGATTGCCCTGGAATCAAACTATGACCTTGCCAAGAGTAATAGTGTGACTCGATCCTATTCTGAAATCTGCAAATTGGAATACCTACCCCTCGCTGTCTGCGTCCAGCGCTGCTGCCAGTTCAGTGAAAAGTAAGCCGGTTAGAAAGTGCTGCTGACGGTATTCGGCTGAGAGGTCAAACATACTGGCGATTTTCTGGTCCTGGAAACTCGAGCAGGAGCTAGAGTTCTGCAGAAGTATATTAGAAGTGTTAAAGAATGATCACTGAAATCAAAGTTTCTTAAAAAGGTTGTAGCCACAGTCCATATACCTACAAGAAAATCTCTACCAGAGCAAAAGCAGAGACTTTGAAAGAAGTTGGACATTTTGAAGGAAAACATCCGAGTGTGAAATAAAAAACGTCTAGTTTCAGAGGAGTTAGTCACTAGGATGCAACCTCATCCTTTCTATTCTGTGCAAGCAACTCATTTGACATTTTTTGAGATGTAAAATTCCTACTCTGTGTTCATTAGTTTGGATGGGACACAAAGAATTTTCTCCATGTTTCTGACTCTTCATATTGCTTTTACCGTTGCAGAGCAGCTATCAGGCATTGTACAGCAAGAGTCTGCCCCTACATTAAGAGGGACTTTGGTATCAGAAGCTCTGCACTGTGTCTTCTTCAGCATCCTTGATGTCTAGCATGGAGGTAAGGTCAGGAAAGACGTGACAATAGTGTTTCTGTTCACTCTGGAAATCCTTGGCTGAGCTTGCTGGCAGCTGGCATAATTTAGAGAAGCCTTCAAACTGCTGTAACTTATGTCTATGACTGATATACAGCCAGCCTAGGAATGGAAAGTTGCTGCTATATATGTGTTGTGAACTTCTTAGCTTCTCCAATCATAGGTCTGTGCCACAGGTCACCTGGAATGTTTTTGTCCCCTGATCGGGTGAGCATAAGTCTTAGACTCTACTCCTCAGTTCAGCTACTGGGGTTTATGAGTCCAAATTTTGCTTTTAATTTATATTCTTCAATATTCTCTCCCAATATTTCTGTCAGTCACCTGGGAATAGTCTCAGAAAGCAAACACATGAAGTAGCAGTATACCATATTGTGGCAGCTGGCTTCCAGCACATTGGGTCAAATGAATCAGAATCACAGAAATGAAACACGTCTCTGAGCAGCCCCATATTTTGGATCCACGAACTTAAGCCCACTCCCATTTCAAGCTCAAGCAGACAGACATTGGCTGTACTATGATTGTGTGGAATAATGTGAAAGTGTAGAGCACCTAGTTAAGTGAATTTGGCGTCTCTCCAAGAATTCCAAAAGATTTATTCATAAGGCCACATTTCTTACTGAAAATCTAACTCTAGCTGGGCAGCACTCCTGCAGAGAAATCAAAATTACTGCAAGGGTGGTCAGTTAATGTATTAAATCATCCAAAGGCCACAAAAGCCTTACTGATTTGTTAGGTTGCACTTCATAGGTTACTCCTAAAAGAGAAAAAGAGTTGATGATGTTGCTTGCAGGAAAGAATGATTAAACTGGTGTCTGCCCAGCTCTGGCTTGCTAGAACTAGTTGCAAGAGCTATGCTGACTTCTTTTTTTCCCCATAAGCAGAAAAGTGCCATTTCTAGTTCTTTGGCATCCAGGATTAGCATTAAGCAAAACTATTGGGAAATCCTGACTCTAAGACCTTCATGCTTTGACTTTGAGAAAATACCAAGGAAATATTATTTACTATTGTTGATCTGTCAGAACACTTAAGGTATGCAATGTAGCACATCTCAGCATCCAACCAATTCTTTGGCAATGATACTTGAAAAAGAAACTGTGAATTTTAAATACTTCGTTATTCAGAGTGGTTTTGTACCTCCCACCATTCTTAGCTTCAGTTCCATTCTCCTGCATCCAAAGGCTGTGGCAATTATGGGGCATTGCACTGAAATGCTTCATTCCAGTCCTGACTTCTGCAAGTCCACTGAGATGGAAAACAGGCATGCTAGCACCCTTTGTCAGGGGTTCTGCCCCATGATGAAAGCAAGATACCATCTAAGCAGAATGTAGAGGAGAAGAGCACAAGATTGGTAAAATAGTGTGTGGCATGCCAGACAACAATTTCTTTGAACTGAATCTGTTTGTGAACTCCATGCTCAGGATGATGGATGGGAGGTCCTGACATTCAGGAAGTCCAGAGCTGTGTCGGTATCAGGTCAAATCTGGAAAAATGTGCATGTACTGGGAATGATCCTGGGCAAAATGAGAATTGACGAGAAGGGACATTCGTGAAAATTGTGTGGAGAGGTCTACTCAGGATACCTGAGTGTTTCCACACAGAAAAATCATGAAGTTCACATAAAAGGGAAAACTCTGTCCAAAAAGTACAGAGAAATCATTGGCAAAGTCATAGCATTATCAGTACCACTGGGATGGGAAGGAATACAGAACAAAGATTGCTGCTATTTGAAAAGGAAAGCATGATAATCCTGCTCTGAATAACACTAAGGCTCAACAGAAATCCATGATTCCAGGATATTGAAAATTGCAGTGATTTAGTCACTATCTTCTATAGTGGTAGCATCTACATCCACTTGGAGAACAAGAAGCTCATCTAGAAGGCAAATGCACTGAAAGTTTGCTGTGCACTGCTGCATGCCATCATTCTCCAAAACAGATACTGGAATACATATTTGAGGTTGTCTATGGATGTGATATAGATGTGCCTGTAAATTAGCCTTCAGAGCCATCTTCCTTTTAGACCTTATATATCCACCTTAACAGTCATTTTCTGTTTGGATGCTTCTAGAGGGGCACATATCCATGTCATGTTAAGTTTTAACTCGTGTAGATGTAATTCTGCAGCAGTACTTCCTCAGTCTTTATTCTTCTGCCCCTTTTCTTTCAAGAGGGAAGTTGCTCTCCCTGATCCAACAGTGGCTGATTCTAACCTAAGTATCTGAATACAGAGCAACATAAGTCTTCTCTACGTGTGTGTTTCATGTCATGTTCATGCAGTATCGTCTAATGGATGCCTACCTGGGAGGATAAGGAGGGAGAGGGGGATGCTGGAGCAGATGCGGAGGTCATGAAGAAGAGATTCAAATTGAGATAATGCTCATGGCTGCAGAGAATTCTCAGGAACTCCAGTCTCATGGAAATAAGGGTGGAGAGTGAATTCAGCTTGTTTGAGAGCTAGAAAAGCAGACCAAAAAAGTGTCATGTGATGGGTGTGCACTATTTAAATTACCATGCAGTGAAATATCCTGCTTCCTGAAACAGGAATAGACAAATAGCCCAGAAAGCATTAAAACGCTCACTGGTTCCCTGTACCTAGCTAGTTTCCATCCATTAGCTGCTCTTTGTTTCACAGTAGTGGTATCTCTTGCCCCCCTCTTCCCAGCTGACATACCAACTTCCCAGGAGACAATAAATTGTTGGGTTTTTTTCCTCCCAAAAGAAAAACATGATATTTTTTCCCCTTTTGCATAACACAAAGATTAAAACCAAACAAAACTCTGCCGAATCTGTGGCAAACTCAAAAAAAGTCCTTTCATATCAACAATGACATCAGTGGAGGATTGCACATACTATAGGAAATTGGGGTTGCAGTCACCTTGCATTCTTTTCCCTACCATCAGCTGACAGAGGGCCTTCCTTTGGCACAAAAACTACAGCAGGTATATCAGGTCACAAAACAGAAGGAAAATTTTCCTCTTCAAATACAACAAATAGTTTCAAAACAACATCCTGCATCATCATTTATTTTTAATTTTAGGAGGCTTGTAAAGCAAGAAGACACAGATGACTTATTTTGATTGAATTCCCCAAATCTAAATACTGTCCTCACAGCAGTGAACTTGAAGAATCAGAGACCAATAGCTGCTTTGTATGGTCTGCAGATCCTAATGCTAAGGGATGTAAAAAGTAAGAGGAGAAAAGTGGCTCCATGGATGCTCTGCAGCAGTGCAAGGTATGACATTTCTGAAAGAGTCTTAACCTCCACTCAATTTTTTTCTGCAGACCACAAATCAAAAGAGGTTTAAAGTCTCTGCATATGCAATAGGAAATAGGAAATTTACCTGGCCCTTTAACACAACTCAAAGGATCTTGATGGATAAATGAATCAAACAGAACAGAACACCAGACTGGCTATAAGCCAAATGCAATACCGATCATGCATGGTGCCTACCTGATTACAGTAATGTTTGATAAGATTAAACACAAATCCTCGGTCCATTAAAGAAAGAAGATCATACAAGAAAAACGCCAGGCTGATATTAATTTTTTCTGCTTGCTCACTTTCCTTTAAAAAAAGAGGGAAAAAAAAGAATCACAGTTATGATGTATAAAACTGATAAAATAGTGTAGGGGACAGCTCCGAGAACCACCTCACAGAGCATAGTGGACAACATTGATTCAGTTATCCAATTTACACAATCTTGTTAAAATTACACAGAACCACTTCCGTAAATTATTTCAACTGTTGCAGCTTTCACAGAGGAATATCGGGGGATGAATGAACAAGTTTATCTATGTAAATCTTTGGGCTGACAACAATGAAATGGAATTTGAGACCTGTTCTGCATTCCCTATGGGATGCAATCCTGCATATATGTTTTATTTTTTTAATTTTAAATTGAACCTTTAACATTAGAGAATGCTGATTGAGGTACTTAAAACATAAAACATTGTTTTAAAATATTGTTTTAAAATATTGACAAAAATCTGCACTGGATCTTCTGATGGAATACCAAGTATTTTGTTTACAAATTTTAAGTGTAAAATTGATAGTAAAAAAACTATTTGTAATCTGTGGGTTTTACTATTCAGCAGCTAAGCTCTCGGATGCTTAGAATTGGCCTGATTAAGAGAGATACGCAGCCCCCAAGTAAAACCCACAAACTTCATGTGCCCTCTAAAACAGGGCTACAGTTACTTCAAACATACCTGTTTAAATCATAAAAACTCTGTAGCACATGCAGTCCACCAAGAGGAATTTGTGGAGGAGCCTGAGGGATCTGCACACATTTAATGCTCAGAGCCCTCAGGTGGGTTCACTCAAGACAGACAGAGGAGATGACTGAGAAAAATGTTGCCCCTATTCATGTCTCTGACTAGTGAGAGCAGGTGTGCAGCACCTCAGGGTGGTTATGATTTAATTTCTCATTTTTCAACCTTTTTGTTGCTGTTCAGGAGTGCATACATATATTTCCTATGATCTAGAATTTACACAGTAAAATATTTTTGTACTGCGAAGAAAAAATTAGTTTTCCACTACCTTACTGGGTAGGCTTGAACATGCCAGATATATCACTGTAGAATCCCAGGGCAATCTGACATGCTCAACCATGTATTGAAACATAGATTATTACTGCTTGGATTTAAAAATCAGACACACATTGCCTACTGCTGCTCTGTACAACTAACCAATGGCCCTAATTCTGCAGATACTACAGTGAGATTTTCACACATAATCAGGTTCTGTACACTCACTCTATCAAAATCAAATTGAATTAACAGCCCATAAAAACTTCCTCGTTTCTTGTGAGGAAGCCATAAAATACTGATCTCTTGGCAAAACCTACAGTTTCCTTAAAACATTTTTAATGTAATACCTTTTTATTACACAAGATTTTTTTTTTTTTTTAAAAAGTCATCAGCACCTTATTTAAACATTTCTATGGACACAATTTCTTTGCATGTGGCTATCATGGAAGCACAGCAAAGGACTGAGCAAAGGGTAAAGCTTCAGGAACAACTTTTCAGTGAATAGTGACAATCCCTTCTGCCGTTCTCTGCCCTCAGTTGTCTGGTCTTGGCCATTCCGCAGTTTCTACTCCTCAACAGCGTGGTGAGGCACACATGCAGAATCGGATCAGGAGAGTGAGCTGATTGAAAAAGTGAGCCAACAGGCCAGCTCTCCAGCCTGGTCTGCCCCATGGCAGAGCACACTGCTGGGCTAGCACAGTGCATTTGGCGGTTCTGGGGCAGGAAAACAAGTTGGTTGCAAGAACTGAACAAACAACAGTCACCCAGTGCCTATCTGTGGCCTTAGCTTTGTCTATTGGCCAGTGCGGAGTGACATCAGTGGTGAAAGCTGACAGTATTAATGTGAAAACAAATTATATTTTGTGATAATTTCAGCTTTATAATCCATTGTATCAGTGCAACTTGTTAAAATACATCAGGAGAAAGAAATTAGTGGGATTTAGGGTTTATTTCTTGCCTTTAATTTTCATGTGGCCAGTGCCTCTTTAAAGAGATCTGGGTTAGATCGCCCATGGTTGGATTTTGCAACCTTCAGGAAGAATATTGCCTTAATATTGCATAGCCCATGATGACAAAGAAGTCAAATGTGGAATAAAACACTATGTAGTAAACATAAGAGTAACAGGAAAGCGGGATAAAAGGAATAAGGCCTTCTTGGGCTGCAGTTTGATGCCCTGGCTAACTTGCCATAGAGCATCACTGCCACTGAAAATGGGTGTCTGACCTTTCCTTTCAATGGGAAAGTGGATTCCCCCCCTGCAGCCTGCAGCCACACCAAGAAGCAGGCTGGGGAGCTGAGCTGAACAAAAACAAACTGTCTGTCAGGGGAGCACAAGGCTGTCCCTTGCACATCCACAACTCTCGCTTAATGTGACAATGTGAAACGTGAGAATACCACCTTAGTTTTGCCCTAATTCTAGTGACAGTGCCAAAGGTGAAATGGGATGAAATACAGCTCAGTGTAACACAGGGTGAGTAGCAAGGATCTGTGGTGCTTATTTCATGCATTTACCTTCTGTGGTTTGACTAAAAGTGCAGCAACCTCTGAAGTGACCACATTAACTATAGTGGTAATATCATCTTTGAAGCGATCAGAGAACCGGCTTCTTCGTGGATTGTCTTGCTTCTCTATGTTGTGAACATACTGAGCCATACTCTTTATCTACAAAGAAGAAAAAAAATATTAAAGAAATGCCCAAACTGGAGGTAAAACTGCTGCTTTAAGTTAGTCCATGGGAGTAAGATTCCCTACATTTTTTCCCCCTGAATGTAATCACTCTCATCTTCTCAGAGCTGCTCCTACACATACCAGCAACAATAACAGAGAGCCTAAGACTGAAAAACAGACAGACACTGACTCCTGCTCATGTTCACGCAGTTGGCTACTCCCAGCATCTGAAGTCAGAATCACCCTCCCCAGTCCCTTGCATCTGCAGCTCTGAAATCCTGCTGTTTGCAACTTTTGCCCTTCATGATGACAGACAGGGAATGACGCTTCAGGAATTAATTCTTATTTCTTGACCTACGGTTGGGTTGCTTATATGATACCAGTGGAAATCAGTATGTTTTTTCCACTGGCATTCATCACCTCAGTGCTCTGTGAAACTGTGAGTTTGGGGAGCCTTGTGACTGGTCCCATGTTGTTAACAAAGTGGAAAACCCAGGAACAGGTATCCACAGAAAATGAAGGGCTCAATTTGATTTCTGTCTTTCAGCCTTCTGCAAGCTGTGGACCACTGTGCAGGTATTTCATGCAGGACTTTGCCATCACAGGCTCTCAGTAGGGAATGGGGGTGAATATGGAGAATTCTTTAGTGGTACTATTATTTGGGATGTCTTCTTTTCATAGTGGGACTGAATAACTGAAGAGATCACTAGCGAACTAAATCTGTGCCTGCAGTAGCTGCGACATTTCACCATTAACTTAATATAAAACACCACTGTCAGATCTTACCAGCAGCTCAAAGAAGAACCATGCATACTTGAAGACAGATTCTCTCACCATACCCGTGCTGACCACCATCTGCAGTGCCAGCTCCTCATGGAAATGCTAGATAATAAACACAGAGTGTTGGGAAATGGCTTTTTAATCAATTCAACTTCCAGTTTCAACATCCCTCTTTTCCCTGTGGAAAACTCATCCATACTGGAGAGTTGGCAGCTGGATGGGGATGTGTGGACATCCCTGTATGATCAGAAGGCAGATTGACCAAAACGACGCGTAAGGAGTGCTGGTGGCAAACAGGCTTTGGGACCCATTTTTCTGTGGATCCAGAATCTGGAACTAAACTGGGAAATGCCTTTGGTCTATCCTCAGGCCATTGGCTGTGTGTGTGACAGGGAGCAGCCACGTTCCCCACTCCCCACTAAGCATTTCCATTTAGCACATTCATGTTTTCTGAGAGAATGTAGAAGTAAGGTTGTCTCTGTGGTGGGAGAGAAGGACACAGCCATAACCACAGCAGACCTTGTAGAGAGGTTTGTAGTTGGAGACATTAATCTTTGCAGTGAGATCTGACCATAAGACACACAATCCTAATGATCTAAACTTTTAGGAAACTCAAATCGGGACTTAAAATTTATTGCAATGTCTGTTTTCTATTCCCGACACAAACAATAAAACTAATGAGATTCCTAAGCATATTTACGTTTAATAGGATATATTAATCCATCCAATATTCAGATTGGGTATAAATCTCTATGCTTTTTGGCAGAAATCAAAACAATAAACAGGAGCAAGAAAGGAGAGTTTCTTAACTGAAACTCAGATTCTGAACTGCTCATTGCAGGGTTTTGCCCCTGCTTCTTCGTCCAAAGCCACTGCTGCTGATCAATGCTAAGCACAAGATACAGCTCTGGAAAAATTATCTGTGTGATATGGCATCTTCTATATTGTTAAAAACTATCTGGGAATACTACTCAAGATAGGAATTAATTTCTTAGTTCTAAAAGCTACAAAAAGGGGAAAAGATAAACATTCTTTAAAGAAGAAGATGGCAAACATTTCTGAATGCACTTTACTGTAACATGTAAAGGCAAGTATCCAAGGGTAAACAGCAGTGGAAAAAGACAGAGGCCCTAACACCTTGAGAAAGAGAGCAAAGGGAGGATCCAGGCAGGCTGCTACTTGTCTAAATCTGTCCTGGAAAAAGAATCTAAAGACTCCAGAGCACAAGTAGAAAAGTTTGGGTAACATTTACCCACTAATTCAACATTCTTGTTGGATAAAATTGGTTGTTATTTTGTTCTCTCTCTCCCCTCTCCTCATTTAGAAGCGCTAATTACCAGCACTGCCTCAGGAGGCTCCAGGCTCTGTTAATGTGCTCCCTCACGCTTAGGGGTAGGCTACCTTTTTATTGGATGGTCTCGGGCTTGCACAAATGCTTGGCACGTCATTCGTTCCTTCAACGTAGAAAGACATCCGACTGGAGCTGTGATCCATAGGCTGGAGAGCGTAGCCAGAAGAAATATGTAATAATAAGTGAATACATAACAAGCTAATTAACAGAGAAGAAACCAGCGTCGGCCGTTTTTCGGAAGGTATGTGCGGACGTTCACCCAAACGGCAATTCTCTTTCCTTCTCCCCATCCCCCTTCCCAGTGGGCAGGCGCAGCAGGCGCAGGAGCCTGCAAATGCCAAGGCTGCCATCAGGTGTCCAATGTCAGCACTGCAGCCCTGTTGTGGAAGCGCTGGAATCGCTACAATTCACCTTTTCACAGGTAACCGTCCTTTCGTTTCATCCGGTGGCCCTACATTAGCAATTAACTAGCATCTGGCAGCCTTCCTTCCATTAAAGTAATGCCGATTTAAAAGGCAGTGAAATGGTAGTAGCCAGTTGCAAATTCCCACATTTATCAATGTGATGAAGCTGTAATACCAAACATTTTAATTTTGTATTAATTTGGAAAAAAATAGGCCTTGAAGTCTTTTTTGAGGACACAATACTTTAGAGTAAAATTCATAAAGCTGTTAAGTTCAAATCTACATTATAAAAAATTTCTGTGGCTGAATACATATGCCAATATAAACAAATCAAATAGACTGGCAAAGCCTGTGCATCTTACTAGTTCCAGTTTAATTTGCTGAAGACAAACACCCATTCACTTTAACTGCAGAGGCATGTGATCATTCAATGGAGAAAAGACTTCAAAATGTTTCTGAAAATAACCTGCTTGAGAAGCAGTATTTCACATACGTAACACTCAAAGAAAAGGCAGGGGGGATACGGTTCAGAGCCCAGCAGACACGCTGCTGTGGAGCTCTGCCAGGGCTGCAGCCAGGAGCAGGCTCCTTGCACAGGGGTAGAATCCTGCTTTTTGTCAGAGGTACAGCTTTCCAGCTTCTGCAGAAAGGGAAACTCTAGATTTTGGTTTCCCCAGAGAGCTGAGCACAGCCATCCTCATAAAGCTCTGAGATGAGCCTGGGATGCTGCAGACCAGTGAGCACCAGATGCCAATCAGGGAAGCAAAATCCTGCTTCTCAGTTGTCATTGTCCTTTCTATCCCGCAAGCTGTTGGTGGCATAAGTAGTTGTGAATGAGAAACGCAGAGGAATCACTCTGTGGTTGAACTAAGTATTTGGAAAGACCAGTTACAAAATACGCACGTGGCATCTGTATTATAGCCAATATAAAATCATGGGGCTGCTGACATATAAATTGCTTACTTTTTTTTTTTTTTAACAGGAAACTATTTAGCATGAAACAGGGTTTGATTTTAAAAAAAAAAGGAAAAGAGTTCAAAGGAGCACGAATAAATTATCAGCGCATTTTACAAAAACTATTTCCCTTCCAAGGATATTTTCACCCATTTCAGAAAGTGAATCTGATCCCAGTGTAATCAATAGTACTCTTTTCTCACACTGACTGCGCAATCTGGACCAGCCCATGTCACCAGACATGAAGAGAACCTAAAAGTCAGGTGCAACAGGAAAGCGAGGCATGCCTCTGTGGAGTGTCTAAGCCTCAAACAAGAGACAGAGTTTTTACTTCTCGCTCTCTCCACTGATAAGAGACATCAGAATTTAGCAATGGGATTTAATGTGTGCCTATGCCAAACCAGATAAACAGCAAATGCTTCTGAGGATCCATACAGTGCATTTACAAGAAGCAAAATCAACCCTCAAAGAACAAATATAGATTATTAGGTTTTGCCCCATACAGTTCTACCAGATATTTGACTCAGTTCTCTTACCTTGGACGACATGATGTTTTTGACCTCCTCATCAGTAGCAGTTTGTGTAACAGCGATGTCAGGGTTGCTGCAGCTTATCACTCGGCTCTGCAGGAGTTTACTCCCAACAGACACTGCGGAAGTGCGTCCAAACGTGTAATAACGAGATTCTGTTAAAATGGCACTGCTGCCTGCACCTGCCCATAGGGAGATGTTTGAACTAAGACTAAAGGACATATATATGAGACAAACATGAGATTCAAGCCAGCTTTGCTCAGTGCTGTTATTGCATCACCATTTTGAATAGCATAAAGCTCCTGAAAATCTCTCCACCAACTGCTTCATTAACAAATTACATAGGCATTGAATGACAAGGCGCGGATGTTTTCCAAGTCAACAGCTCACAGCGTGATTGCACAAGCAGTAATGAAAGATTGACAGGGCTACCTGAGCAGCAGCACTATTACAATAGCTCTTTCTTCTTCCCATCAGCTCTTCTTAATTTGCTGTATGTTAAGACAAAATTCATAGGCCTAAACACAAAATACCACCTTCAACGTGTAACATTTAACACCACATCCAAACTATCCAAGGAAGAAAGGAGCACTGCCAGCAGGAAACTCACTAAATGATTACCTGGTTTTTCGGCTTCCGCATGGACCTTACTTTTCCAGGATAAAGAATTACAAAGTATAGGCAAGCTCAGAGGTTTTAGTACATCCTAGCATCAGTCTAAATGTCCCTCAATAGGGATTTAAATGAATACTTGAAAGAGAAAAGGCCCTGTATCAGCTCCCACCGCACAGCCGCTGGGTGATAAATCAGTTAATACATAGCAATTGATCAAATGATTCCTATAGGCTTTAGGACAATGGACTACAGTAGAATCACAGAATGGAGGTTTGAAGGGACTTCTGGAGGTCTTCTAGTCCAATTCTCCTGCTCCAGCAAGGCCGCCTAGAGCTTGCTGCCCAAGACATGTCTAGATGGCTTTCTAGTATCTCCAAGGTGAGAAACTCCATCACTTCTCTGGGCAACCTGTGCCAGGGCTCGGTCACCTTCACAGGAAAAAAGTGTTTCTTGATGTTCAGAGAGGTTCAGAGGGAACTTCCTGTGTTTCTGTTTGTGCCCATTGCCTCTGGTCCTGTCACTGTGCAACACTGGAAAGAGCTTGGCTCTGTCTTCTATGTACCCTCCCTTCAGGTATTTATTTCTATTGATAAGACCCTCCCTGAATCTTCTCTTCTCCAGGCTGAATAGTCCCAGATCTCTCAGTCTTGCCTCATTGGAGAGATGCTCCAGTCCCTTCATCATCCCTTTGTGACCCTTGGCTGGTCTCTCTCCAATATGTCCATGTCTCTCTTGTACTGAGGAGCCCAGCCAAGTAGTTTACTGATCTACAGGCCAGTAAGAAATTGGTATCTCAAGGCCATTTTAATTTCTGGAGGAAATTCCTCTAAAGAAACCCTCAGTTTAGGAGATGTCTCTCACTTTGATCTTCATCCAGACACAGCATTGCATATAGCTGTGGAGTCCTCTCACCTCAACTCTGCATCTCAAATGAAGGACTGAGAGACAGAGATTATGGGGGGCAAGTCCATATCACTCTTTGCAGTGCTGAGATCCCTGACTTTCCTCTGAGAAAAATGATACACCTGAACTGTGCTGTGCTTAAATGGTACGCAGTTTGAGTCTGAGAAGTTGTGTTTGCTGTTTTATAGGCCAGTTAGGAAACTTAGTTCTCCTCTCAGAAGCACCATGATGAATAGCCATCCATCAAGAAAAAACAATACTTTTGCAACCCTTGCACCAACATTACCTGGTTTGACTACTTCTCTTTGAGGGTCTGGCAGGCGAAATACATAGTAGACGTAAGATGCCAGGAGACAGTTCCTCCCATGCTGGTCTTTGCTCAGGTCTTTGCTGTTCTGGAGGCTGTTCACTATTGCAACCACAGATTCAAAGGCAAACTGTGAGAAGTTGGCTGTGAACACAAAGGCAAGAAATAGTCTCAGCACTGAAAGGTATAATATAATTAGGTGAGGACATTCTTTCTACCACGAGCAACTGATCCTATATGCTTTCATTTAGTCCTTAACAAATTCAGAGCTCTAGACAGCAATTGCTATACCTGACCAGATTCAAGATCTACATAGGCCAATAACCACTCCTCAGCAGACCCACTGACTTTCAACCCAGTCACTGGTACTCCATCGCTTTGTGCTACATGAAAGCAGACCGTAACTGTTAATTACCGTATCTAGCAGCCTTCACACATTTCCTATAAAATATCTTCTTGAAGAATACTAAGACTTGTTATTCTCCAGCTGACAGACAAATTCAAGCTAGCAGACTTTTCCATAAATATTATAGTGGATGACAACTGTTGATCACCAAAATGAGACAGGAAATAAACTACACCACTGTCCCCATGTATGCCTTCCCTCCAGAGTTAACTTATGTAATGGCAAGTGGTAGCCTCAGTAACAGAAAAATCTGTCCATTACTACACCTCTCTGGTTTTGTGTTCTCCCAATTCTGTCTAAAGATATTTGGGCAGAGGTTGTGGTGCAGTCAGCAATGTCAGCTGTAGGATAAGTGATTTTGCAGGTGTTTTCATAGAATCATAGAATCATAGCATGATTAGGGTTGGAAGGGACCTCAAAGATCATCTAGTTCCAACCCCCCTGCCGTGGGCAGGGAAACCCTCCACTACACCAAGTTGCCCAAAGCCTCATCCAACCTGGCCTTGAACACTTCCAGGGATGGGGCAAAACAACTGAATTCCAAACAAAGTTAAACCACAATCCAGTTTCTGACCTATATTTCCAGTTAAGTAAACTATTGCAATGTAAAGTACCTTGCAGCCAGAGTTGAGAGTCTTATATGCAGGGTGGAAAGGAGAGAAGGCAAGAACTCAGTTAAACCTGATTAAACTGTGCAGTAAGACTGTGTCTTGAGAAGCACAACTCTTTCTGAAGTGGACTACCCCAAATACCAAATGTGAGCCTAGATATTTAGCAATTGTTTCCCCCACACTTCTAGGTTGCCTTCGCTACCACTCCAAGGCCATGTACTATTAAATACCTGTCTGGCCAGCTATGACCATGGGCTGTACAGCCAGCTGGAAAAGTTTATCTAGTACCAAATGTAAAAACAAGACAAGAGGTTCAAGGCGTGAAGAATTCAAACAGATAAGGCTGAGTTTCAATTCCTGTTCCAGTGTAGCCTCTGTAATCTTCTGATCCATCAGTCGAATGGGGAATGTCACTTGACTTTCCAGGGAATGGCACAGAGTGAAGAACTTCTCTAGGTGATTGTCCTGCAAATACAGTGCACTCAGTTAACAAAGTTGATATAGTTCAGGCTGCTGCTAGCTAAGCAAAGCTTCCTTGTCCCATCTGATGGGATGAGAGAAAATATTTTCACCCTCTAGCTTGCTGTGGTGGCTAGCTCTAGAGATCAATTTGTAAAGCAGCTGTCACAGCCTTTTGTTTGTTCCTTTTCATCTGGCTTTCATTTAGACCCTGGTTAGATCAGATTGAAAGCAGAAAAGTTAAAGCCCTCACTAAAGGGATTGCTTCTTTTAATAAAATTACTGTTCCTTCTCTCTTACGAAACTCTGTCATGCCATAGGTCTATAGCCTCTCTGCCACCCACACCTAAGTTCCAGCTACATACAAGTTGTGTGTCTTATGAGTATGCCCTACTTGTACTTAAAAAGTATGCTGCAAAGAGGTGATGGGCTTGCTTCAGATACAGGCCCTCCAGTTGTCAGGACACAGCCACCAGGGTTAACTAGAATGGGATGATGAGTAGGAGACATTGTAAAGCAGCACAAACAAAATAAAGACACTTTGCCTCAAACGAGTATCCCAATAAGACAGGCAAAGCTTCAATTTCCTATCTACTTTAAATGACCAGAATCGTAGAGTTCTCATTCAGCAATAAGCTTGTGTCCCCACACCACATGACATTGACAGCTGAGCTGCCTAAAACACTCTGGCAGTATAACATGTCCCTAGAAGTGAGGAGGTGACATGTCTCTGCAGATGTGGACACATTGTCTGAAGTAGCCCTGCAGAGCAGAAGACGCAGGTTGCAGAAACTGGCACTGTGCCCTGCCAGTGTCTTTCGAACACAGCCTAAACAGACCCTTGCTCAGCTGAGAAGACACGAGGCTCCCTATTGCTTGATGTGACTTGCTGCTGAGAGTGCTCATTTCTTCACTTGTACCAATAGATTTCATTTCAGCAAAGGATTTAATTCACTGAGGGTATCAAGTTATTTTCAGAGCTGCTAAATCTGTGTTGGCTTAAACATCTCCATTTCATAAAGCTAAGACAGCCTGGACATCTGATTTCTCTTTGAATTGAAATTACAGCTGTGTGTTGCTTCTGATGCATTACCTGAGTGTGAACAGATGAAACAGCTTGCACTTCAACATTGAAAACACCCTTGTGTCCTTCAACCCACTTAACAGGTGGTGTCTGAGATGGAACTTTCTGTAATGAAAAGAAATACAGAAATCATCATCTTCCTTTTAACGATCAAACAGTAAGTCTGTTTACACCGGTGTCCAAAGGGTATACGTACTATTCACTTCACTTCAGACATCTGAATTCAGTGCCATACAGAGGACCACAGCTAGGCATCTTTTTATTCTCATAGACTAGACGGCGGGAAGTTGATGCATTGCACAGGGAAATCTGGAGCACTTCAGCTGGATGCCTAGCACAGACAGCGCAACTATACATCTTCTTATGGGGTAATTTTAAGGTTAGAAGTTCCTGGTTAAATCACTGCCAAAGGCACTCCATGGTAATGCAGTGCAGTTTTAACCCTCTGGACAGTTTCCTACTTGCCATATTTACTCAGAGGGCACCGTTTTCTGCTCCAGTAGCAGCACCTGATTCGATTTCTCCTCTCTCTCCCACACAGCCACAAAAAAATGAGCAAATCATCCCATGGAAGAAAGTAAATTATTGACTTGACACCTTCTAAATAAATGTATCTCTGACTAGACAATTTACAAGGATTTGCTTGGATAACTAACTTTAAAAAACACAATATAACAATATAAAATAATAATAATAACACTAGTGACAATAATAACAACGACATTTTTCTCCAGAGCTTTCCCCTTTTAGAATTCAAAAAGGATGCATTGTCTACAAATAGGCAGCAACATTAATTTGTAAAACACTTATGTGTTCTTCTACATTGGGAAAACATTATTTTTTCATAATTTTCTTTGTTACCTCAGGAGAGTGAATTGAATAGTGGAAAGGCAGCTTATCTAATGCAACAGGAAGACAATAATGTCCAGTTTGAAGACGATCGTTTAACAGAATCGCCAGCCACTGAAACAAATGAAGAGAAAACACAGCAATATTAATGACTATATATGATTAGGGCTATTTATCTAATTCGTTGTGTACAGTCAACAGAACAACAAATGAGATATTGACCCAAGCTTCTTTGCTCTAACCCATTCAACAGTAATTTCTTTGCATTTTAAATTCAGTGGTAGCTACTGTAGAAAAATGTACAAGACTGCTTTACAAACCATCCCTTTTGAAGAAAACAAACACAGAGCTTTTCATGTGTGACATATGTTTTTCTAATAAATTCTTCCAGAAGCATTTAGTAGATATTTTTATTTAAAAAATCACGTATCTTGAACAGACCGATCCTTTGCTTTGAAGCAAATCAAGAGAGTTAAAGTTTTGCCAAGGATAAATTGAACATCTTGGTCATAGTCACCATAAGGATTAAGGCCAGATCTGTAATCTGTATTGATATTTGGACACACTTTATTTTTCTCCTATTGAAGTCTGAAAGAGGCTGAGCATTTGAGTATCAGAGGGCAGAAATGTTTTGTAGTCAGGTGAATAGAAGCTTGAAAACTAAGTCCTCACCTATGTCAAGTCTTGCTCCTGAGCTACAAAGTAATTTACTTCTTACTAATCCCATTGACACTGGTGGGACTACAGCTGTTCATAAAAGAAAGCCCATTTGAAAGAATTCTCAGTACTGGGATCAAAACCAAATACAAACTTCATAGCAGGAACACATGGAAAGCACTTGTCTGTCCCCACAGCTCAATTGCTGTCCACAGCACTAGGACGTTTTCAAATCTGAAGTACTGTCATCATCTATGTTTTCCTCTTATCTTAAAATCTCTCCAGCTAAAAATATTGATTAATAAAGAAAAAGTCAAAGAAACTATGCTACTATATGTATTTCTTAAGCTAAAACATGCTAGTCTCAACATGAGGATAGTGAATACAAGAGAATTACATTTTACCTCCTAGATTCTTTCTGGGTTTTAAGTTTGATGTGGGTAAAAGACACTTTACAACACAAATGACATGCCATCTAAAAATATTGTATCAGTTGTTACCTCATGTATGAACATGTTAGATAACAGTAAATAATTGTAATTGCATATGTTTTAGGCTTTTTTTTTCTCAATAAATAGAACTTAACAGAACTAGACAATACACTATAAAGCATTGCTGTTGCAAATATTTGGGCATGTACTTAAATTCAGTTGCATCAGGTGCCAATTTCAAAGACACTTAACAATGTAAAATTATAGGAGAAGAATGTAACATGGCACAGGTTGTATCTGTTTTTTGTGAATTAACATTAAGATCTTCAGCTGGTTTTGATGTGTTAACATAACCAAAAAGGGAATATATGACAAAATTCTTGACAAGCAAAGAGTCTGTTTGCATAGGATGTAGATACATCTCTATATAAACACACACACACTTACATATCACATGGAACTTACTGAATACCCGAGGAGAGTTTCCACAGATGCTCCTTGCTTTGGCTGGCAGCTGATGTGATAGAACGTGAACAATAGGTGGTGTTTCTCTGTGAGTTTTGCTGGCAGCTTAATTTTAACTTCTTCATAAAAGTCAGGGGATCTATTAAAAAAAAAAAAACGCCAAGCACATTTGCACTTCAAGTATGAGAATGAGCAGAAGGCAAATTTGCGGATAGGCTTTTAGATGCTACAGTTTGTAAAAACTATATAAATCCTGAAAACAGCCTCAGAGCTGAGTTAAATAAAGTATGTATACATACAGCTGTATTTATGAATTATCTACAGCTTTGAATCAGGAAGAACATAGACAGTATCAGCTGGAATGTTTCAGCTCAAAAACATTCAATCTTAATTTTGGGTTCCAGCATATTTATTGTGTAAATCCTAAATCCTGAGTCTACTTTCATGAGAATGACAATGTCCCCTCAGCTTGTTTGGATCTGTGAATTCGTCAGAGTAAATGCTGTTGTGCTGCTGCTCCTTAATCTTCAGATTAGGAATATTCTCAACTAACCTCTGAAAAGCTCCAAATAAGAAAAGCAATGGTTGCTTACGCAATGGTCACTTACGCAAATGCTTGTAGCAACCTGAATTAAATACAAATCTGCATAAAATGTAAATGTTTAAAATGGATTAGTACCAGCATTCCTTGATGAACTACGTAGGCTAAGAATTATGTAAATAGGTCATGATTAGTATTTCCCAAGTCATACAAATAGTAACAATACTTACTTATTATGATATGTGATAGCTGTGTATATTTCTTGCACAAATTCTGGACCTGAAGATTTCCCAAAAATTACCTACATTAAGCAGAAAAGAAAGTAACAGCAGTCAGGTCCAAAGCATTTAATTGTCTTCATCTTGTATAAATTTTAAGACAGTATCTGAAGGCTGAAAATGACTCTTCATTATTATCTTAGCATGTTGACAAAAATGTCATATTACAAAGCATCTTCCCCACACATCATTCAGGGTAAAACATCAGGAAAATGGAACAGAGGTCATTTCGGTAGCCACTGACTACCTCACATCACATTGTTCAGTCATGCACTAAAAAGTCAGGAATTACAGGAATAGTTACGGTAAGCCTCTCACACATTGTCATATTGCTTTTAACTAAATGCTAATAAGTTAAATTGAAAGTATTTTTAGAAATTTGTTTTTCAGTTGTAGCCTGCTCATTTAGGGTGAGATCCATTTCACCTTACCTTAGAGGTCCAAAGTTCCTTTACAATCAATGAAGGGAAAAAGGCATTTTTGTGCTTGATCTGCTTCCCTTATTTCAGACAAAGCCTCACAGTAAGGCCCTGGAATCTAGTAACTTTAAAGGGAGACCCGGGAGACGAGCTTCGGTAAGGATATCTGTACAGCACAAGTCCATATGCATTGAAATGAAGCTCTCTTACAGTAGAGAAGGATGCCAGATGAACTGCTTCTCTCCTAAGCATTTGTCAAAACCTAATCATAGCACGAGCAGAGTTTAAGGAAATCAACAATGTAGTATTGTATAAAAGATGATGTTACATTCACATGGCACAGCTCCAACTCTGGAAGAAATGTGGCTTGGGAAAGTACTGTGCTGATGCTCTGGTGCCAATTCCAGGGCTCATGTGGAGTAAAGTTGTGAAGTACCCATTGTGCAGTGCCAGCAACACTGATAAAGGCTGGTCAGGTGTCAGTCTTTGCTCCAACATATTATCGGATTAAAGTTCCTCAAAGTAGTATTTCTATGTTTTTTTAATCCCTTTAACATATAAAATCATAAAAGATTTTACCCCAATGTCATTCTCAAATAGCCAATTACACTGTCTGAAAATTTCCCAAAAAATGCAGGCTGAAGCAGACGTCTGGGTTGGAACAGTTCAAAGTGGACATGTGAAGCTTGGTAAAGCTGAAGAGAGGATCTCAATCTCATAATGAGAAATGTTGAATAACCTGAACATAGACAGCACTGCCTGCTCTGCTAGTAGCACATATGTATGCCCTAACACACAGTGTGGTGCAAACACGGAAATCTCTGCCTACACTGTGTGATTGTGCACCTGTTCAGATTCAGGCAATGAAGATCCTAACTTCTACTTTCCAATGTTACACCTGAGTATTTGTGTAAGCATACTGCATGTGGAGGGGTTACACTGGAAGATAGACTACATCATTCTTAAAAGGTCTCCAAAGCTCTGTGAATTTTACCATTAGAGTTTCCAAGACAACATTGATTTAATATGATGCCACTCTTCTGAAAATAAGGTAGGAAGACAGATAAGAGGGAGTAATATGCCTCTGTTTCACTTGAGCGACGAGTCTTTCCTGTTGTGGATGAGGACTACAGCTCTGCTTTCTGATGAGAACAACAAGCTTCACAAGCTCTTTGATGTTAGGCTTCCTAAGGCCACACTAGAAACTGTGGTGATGGGAAGTAAACAATGAGTTACCTCTTCAGAGGTTCCTCAGGAATGCGTGTAAACAAAAGTCTGCTAAGAAATCTCAGCATTTATTACCGGCATTGCACAGGATGGGTCTTCGCCACACATAAGCTGGATCTTGATGGTGATGTTTCTTGCAGAAGCTGGTCTGTTAGCAAAATTTAGCCTCTGAGGGTAAACATAGAGCAGATTTCTGGAAGAAAGAAAGGGAAGAATAAAACGGCTAAATGCTATTTGTGTTTCAAAATGAAGTGTACAAGATAGCATTTTGCTGATTCCTCTCCCTGTCCTTCAATACCACCTAGACAGTGAAAGCTTTGTCAGAACTTCATTTCAAAAGGTCACAAGGAAAAGGAAAGTTCTTGCTGTGACACGTAGAATATTCTATGTTTAAGGTTTCTTATATAGTGAGCTCTATCTTTGAGAAGGCAGTCTTCCTATCCCTCTCTTTTTTTTTTTTTTTGAAATATGTAATTCCCAGTTACAAATGAATGAGTATCTTTGCTTGATGGCGATGAAAATCAGGAATCTCTCAAGAAAGCAGCTTTCTCCTCAGCTGCGAAGAATCAAGTTTTGGAAAGGGTAAGGAATTACTGAGAAGTGATAAAAACATGTAAATCAGCCAATAAAACCAAAAACTAAAGTTCATACATTCCTATCTTATAGCAACAAAATGGCATATATATCCAGATTATGCAAATCGAAAAGCAGTATCAATGAACCTGAGTAAACACAAAAAAGAAATTTTGAACTATAACTCTAGAAACTTATATTTTTTAGTAAGTAATATGAGTAATGCTTTAAAAACCAGCATATTTTGCTGGTTACTGGCTTCTATACATGGTACAGATCACTACACTTAAATGGTACCTTAAATTTCTGTGGGGACTTTGGCAGCATAGATAGTCTTCCAAGATGAAAACCCAGCAATTCTGACAGAAGAGTCAAAATGCTAATAGAAAGCTTTTTTCTCCAGTGAAGTCTATGGCAAGTCTGAGATTTCAGCTAAACCTTGATTACACACGTTCTGGCACCATGATTATCTCTATTTAATGTTTCGTTTTCCAGTCTGGTATAGGACTCTCACTGTTTATCCTTGGAGTCTAAGGAATAAGACTAGTGTTGGTGGAAGCATGCTGTCTTCCAATGAGAAACAATAAGAATTCCTCATGGGGTTTCATGCTTTCTTTTTGTCTGTGACAGTCAGAAGCTACATACAAAATCACCTTGTCTTTATCACAGGTATCTCCTCAGCACTATTGCAAGCTGAAAATGCAGAGCAGCTTTGGAGAATATTGTCATTAAGTCAGACAGTCTATCTTCCATTTGTTGTATGCCAAGATCTGGAAAAGATTGATTCTCCTTATTGCCATGTGTCACAGTGTGATAATACTCTTCAACTATACAGCCCAAGCTACTTTGCTAACCAACACATGCTACATGGGCCACGGCATGCCTTATCAAACTAGCATGTAACTTGCCTTTCTCTTGGTTTCGAATAATACTCCTGCCTGCCACACTAACGTGCTTTCTTCCTTACCATCTTAAATGCAATTTCTGCTATGCCAAATTCTCTCCAATATGATATTAGGAAAAGCTAAGTGAAAGAGAGAAATATATTGGTAACCTCCACTGAATTATGCTTGGGGGAATGACATATTAAATGAAGGATATTATGAATATTACATCTGCCAGAGGTGAAGAAATACACGTAGGGAAGGCTGCATAATCCAGTCATTGCTTCATTAATTTGCAGTCCAGCAGATGTCACAAATCCATATAACGTCCCTGAGCACTGAATTTCACATTTAGATGTGACTTGAGATGAAAGATATGTAAAATCACAAACAGAGAGCTCTCTGCTGACTACACAACCACGGAAGCATTATTCCAGAAAGTACTCTACTGAAGAGCTAAAGCTTGTGCCATTTATGCTCAGGCAGTTTTAGGGATCTTGCTTACATGTGTATTAAACTCACCAGCACTGAGAAAAAACAGAGGCAAATGCTGATTCTGGATATCCTGCAGAGATGAAATGATGACTGATTTTTTAAAGCAAGAAGGTGGGGAGATGATCAGAAGTTTCTTCACACAGGCATGAATTTCAGACCCATTGCTGACCACTTTCTGCCAGCATTCAGACCCTCCAAAAATCCGAGCGGAAGTAATGACAAGGAGCATTTCCACATGGCAGTTAGCAGGGGAGTCAGGACAGCATGTACTGCTGTCTTTTAAAAATAGGACAGCTAGCATGCCCATAAGGATGTGTGTGGTAAGCTCCAGGAGGCATTGTGACTCCCTGGAGGCTCTGAGCTGAGTAGAAATATTCAAACAACATGCCATAGCAATTACTTTTGGTCAGTGTGATTAAACTTCTCCCCTCACTATCCCTGTGGAAAGTGCAGGATTTTACCTCCACATATAGTCAGATATGCTTACAAGAAGCAAACGAGCTATGCAGGAGTCAGTATGGGTCTACAAAAGCCACGGCAGAGCACCCAACTTCACTAAGACCAGAGTTCTTCCCACAGGACAGCAGAATCCTGGGTGAGGCATGCATCCAGACAGTTTCTCTGTGTTGGAGACTGACCCAGCACAGGGATGGTAACATAAGAGGCTGTTTCAGAATTAGTTACTTGCTGGGAAAGCTAAGGGTCCATCTAGCCTAACATGGGACACCATGCAGCAATTCTCATTCAAATTTGCTGACCTTCCTACACTTTGACAGGATTTAGCAGTGGTGATTTGATCACTTCCCATGGCCAAAGCAATGCCGACCTATCTTCTGTCAAAATAAAATCTCTGCAGACTTTCAAGTCTGTGACCCTTCTCATTGAATACTCCTGTTTGTGATTATTGGTTATGCACATGTGTAACATACTAAAATCCTTCTTGCTAAATTACAACTTGTAAGGTGTCAACAAGCGCATGTCAAACTTTTAAAGAATATTAGGCATATTCCTTGATGACTGTGACAAGAAGGCTGAACATAGCAAAAGCCAATATATGTGCAAATAGCTGCTACTGATACAAACCACAAATGTTCTACGGGTGAACAGTGATGGATGGGTCAACATTGCCATTTAATGCTTGTGGTGCTGAAAACAAAACGTGATACACTCATTATAATTTTCAATCTTTGTTGATTCCTCTACACATTTGTTGGGGTAGGCTGGGAATCTTCAGAAAAAATGATTGAAAATTGTAGTGCAAATCACAAACACTTTGCCAAATATGGAAACCTTCTCTAGTCAGCCACTGACTGGAATAAATGGCACAATGACAGAACTTCAACATATCATATTCAAGAAGATGTATATGTCATATATTCTCTATCTTAGCATGGATAATTTGGACAATAGTTTGAATGATTTTTCTGACGTTGCTGAAATTAGGAATAATCTAAAGAGTTAGTGATCAGATCCTCATTAAATTTAGGCTGAGAGTGATTATTACTTTATTCTGACCATTAGCATTGGTGTGAAAATCTTAATACATTTTCTATTAAAGTTCAAGTCAACACGAAAAAAATGTTGCCAGAGGAACTGAGTGGAAGGTTGACGTTAGATTTCTGCAGGTACAAATTACAAAATTATGACAAGAAAATAGATATTTCTGAATTTAAATGTGACCTAGAGCTTAGAGTCAATTCAGACTAAAATTTTAATAGTTTTCTCCCCAGGACTCATAGTTACTCATTATACATCATTGAACTGACCTATCATTACTTCAAATATCAAATATTGCAAACAAGTAATCAATGACATGTGTTTGAAAACCAAGACCATAGTCAAATAACTGAGATTTTGTGAATGAGAAAAATCACCAACAGAATAATTTCTTGCCTACTATATTGATTTTCTCATGTGCAAACGCAGGGAACTTTCTGACCCAAAATTTCCTACTTTACATCATCTTTTTCAGAAGTTACTCTTAAAATTGTTTTCAACTTCTCAAACATGAAAATCAGAGGGATTATACCACCTCCTGATGTCTCTGTCCTCCATGATTTACAGTCCTCTATCAAACTAAACTCACTGGTTCACTAATAATATTCTCACTTCCCCTGCTGGTTCCAGCATTATTAAATCCTGAGTGGCAGTGCTATTAAAGTGGATAAAATGAGTGGATATCCACCAGGTGTCAACTATTGCAATGTCAAGACACTGTAATAACAAGATGGTAGGTCACACATAAGGCACTGCCCAGCTGCCCAAATGAAGTATGAAAAGCTGAAAAAAGGAAGATAGTAGATGTATCGTAAAACTGTATTTTATAGATCCATCCACTATCCCTCTGTGATTCCTCCAGCCGTGCAAATAGAGGTAAAGCTTTATCTCAAAATTCTCCTTGAACCCCCATAATCAAAGAATGAAAGTTCTGACATATCAGATTTTTACACATAACAGTGAACCTATCTGAAACACGACAATACAGCTGAGAACGGTAGTGAGATAATTTTGTTCTGATATATTTAATTAATACATGACACAGTGAAGGAGTGCTAGTAAATACAATATCATACCATACCATATATTCCCAAAATATTGGTAACATGTCCCCTTGAAGTTACATGTGTCAGATAATGTGAGGCAATATTTCATGTTTACCAGCATCTTGTTGCCACGGACACTATGCACTCCTAAAATTTCTTTTGAAAACGCTTGAAAACCTCAGTGAATGACATAGGATTCAGCAGCATGCAAGACCTATGCAGCTAGAAGTCAACAGATGGAACTTGGATTTGATTTAATTGTCTCATCAATGCATTTACACACTCCTCCATTGTGATCTGGGAGGCTGGATGCTATAACGACAAACTGCACTGCTCTTGAGTGACGTCTCTTCTTTAAACTGTACACCTCAAAGTAACCATTTATCAAGCAAGAGGAAAAAAATCCAGCGAGAAAACTGATGTCCTCCATCTCTAAGTGCCCTGCAGACTGAAGCTAAAAAAGTCACCTGTTCTTTCCAAAAGGGAAGCCACCTACTACTACCAGTAGTCCAGCACCATTAAAAAATATTGGATGAAGCTACCTTCCAGTGAAAAGCAGACAAATGGTTTGAAGGAGAAAGAAGTGTCCTGAGGTTAGCAAAAAGTTCTGCAGGCTTTGAAAGGAATGGTTTGGTTCTAAGAGTCCTGGTTGGGAGCTCTTTACAAAAGGACAATATTCAGCACTCTACTATCTAAAC